ATGTGAACTCAGTACGGAGCTCCCCACCCCATGTCGCCCAGGTATTGGTTCCCCTCCTCTTTTTTTTTTTTCTTCTCTTTAACAATTTCCAGGTTAATATTATAGCCCTGAACAGGGCTGCCTGGTTTTGCTGTTTGGTTGCATTATTTATTTATTTTAATGGCATTTGTACAGACACTGCTACCCTTTTCTGTCATCGTTTTTGCCACTGTGAAATTTCTGATTTTTGTGCACCTGGTGATAGGTCGGAAGAAAAGCATCAGACTTCCCTGGGAGCTTTACTGAGCAGAGAAAACCAGTAGTGGGATATGATTGAAACAGTGACACTATATCCCTTCAGCTGCCTCTCAGCTTCATGCCAGTTCTTAAAGTCATTCTTCCTTGCTTGGACGAGTAGAAAATTGGGTGCCAGCTGCTCTTGGGCCCGGAATGAGAGAGATTGTGTGCTGTCTGTACCTTGATTCTCCTGCTGAGACCAGGCTTATAAAGACCCTGGGCATCCTTTTGGCCAGACTGCACTGTTGCTGAGAGCCTCCCAAGGGAGCAGCAGCGGCAGAGGAGGCTCCCCTGGGGACAGCAGTTCCCCTCGTGCCTGCCTTAGGCTTCCCTAGGCAGCAGCAGCGTTGGCGGGAGAGCCGCTGCTCCGCGGCTCCTGCTGAGGCTGGTGGTCCGGAGTGCTTGCCATTGCTGCCAGTCGGGCTCTCTGCGATGCTACACTGACTTTCCGAATTGTGAATTTCTGCATTCTTCACACTTCTGCCATTTGCAGTCCAGTCAAGCACGTTCTCGTTCCTGTGAACACACAGTGCTTTTATTCTTTGGTTTTTGGATCTTCCTAATTCCTCGGCCTCAGTGATATTTTGTGGAAAAGTGTTTGAGGGGAGATTACGTAGTCTGGCATCTTTTTACCTGTTCCCTTTTAAGTCTTAAATGTTATCAGCTTTCACTTTGCTTAATTATTGCCTTTCTCACATATTCTGAAAGAGGAAACAACTTGTTCAACCCATGTGCTCTAGATCAGCCATTACTTGAAGTATTTCTCTCAATTTCTCCCTCATTTGTCCCTGGGCCCGCTCAACTGTCCTGCTGTGCTGTTTGGAGAGAGGAGAGAGACTACAGGCATGGCCTTGTCTCGATTTATTACTTTGTTAGTTTTGGCATTCTATGTATTTTTATATATAGCTTTTCCTTTTATAGAATTAAGTATTTCTGTTTTAAGAGCTTGGTGAAACACACCAAGTTCTCCTATCTTAGGCTCAGCAGCTGATCAGCACAAGGGCTGTAGATCAGAATTGACTTCTGGCTCCTTCAGACACCAGTTAGATGAGGCAATGCTGAAGTGGTTTGAGGTGTGCTGACTAAGGAGATGACTGGGGACGGTATTTCTGTTAATTGTCAGTTCCAGCTCTCGCTGGAGAATTCACGGTTTTGAGAGGCTGAGCAGACCCCAGCAGGTAAGACTCCGGAGAAAAGGGGGATAAGTGCGGAATGAAAAACTCTCACATTTCCTTTTTCCTCCCTCAGAGCATTGTCTTTGTAATGCTGCCATTTAAAGATTGCGTGCCTATCCGAGGGCTGAATTTAATATATAATGTTGATTTAGGTCACAACTATAAGATTGTCCATCCACCCATCTGGTATAAAGCAATAAATACAAAATCTGCCTGAAATGACAGGCCAGCCTCTCTGCTTGCTGGCTGAAGTGAATGTGCTCCTGTCGTGGTGCGATAGCCTGGCCAGCCTTAGCAGTGGATTCCAAGAATCTCAAGTTTATGGTCTGTCAGCCAGTGCAAACATCCATCCATCAAATATCCCCCACTTATTATACCTAGAAGACAGAACCGGGGAGGCATTAAGAAATGAGTGGCAGAGGGAGATCATCTGCTTTGATGTGTGTATTCTCCAGGCTGGGAGACAGAGAGCTGGGATGGTTGTGCTCCTGTGGTCTCAAAGATCACCAAAACCCCACCTGTGAACATACTTGGATCGTAGAGCTCTGAAATGGTATAGGGGAGATCCTTACCCTCATTTTTCGGCTATACCTTGCTCTCCAGCAGGGATGCTGCCCTTCTGAGTGCCTGTAGCACGGATGTTTTTAAAGTTTGGGTTATTGCTTATTATAAACCAAGAACAGTTTACTAAACAAGGCCTGGGTTAGTGCTTGAGTGGCCCTATGAAGCAGAAATATCACTCAATAGCCAAGTTTTCCAAGGGGAGTGATCTGCTGTGAATATGCTTTAATAAGCTCCTGACTTATTCATTGCGTATCTCTCCCAGCAAGGTGGCACCCTAAGGGACAGCTGTACTCAGGGCTGTGCACATACCAGTTAAAAACCCCAGGCCTGCTAGGACTAATCCTGCCTCCTTGCCGCATTGTGTGGCTGTGTGTCCTCAGGTGGCATCCTCCTTTCTGGGCTGAAAACCCCTAAACCAAGGCTTCTTTGTTCTTAAATGGTCCCTGCAGTTTCTAACACAGTTAAAGATCTTGCCTCTGTGTCCTCATCAAATTCAGGTTTCATTCTTTATGCCCCCTCTCAGGCTCCTTGCTGGGACCCAGTACTTTACAGGTCTCCAGCTTCCCAGCCTGCAGAGTCCCATGGGATAGGAGACTGTGTGCAGAGAAGAAGGAAAGGCACTTCCTTTGGGTGGAGGTCAGAAGGAGGGAGCCTGTGAAAGTCGGAAAGTGGGAGCAAGGGATGAAGTTCAGAGGAGAGGCATCAGCTGGGGGAAGAAAGGTTATTCTTTGGGCTGGACAACTACATCTTAAGAGTACCCACAGGAACTCTTTGCAGAGATGGTTAGCGGTGGATTGTCAATGTCTCTTAAAAGACCTTGCCTCTTAAAAAGCCTTTCAGGGCTCTGTTACTGCATGGACAAGCAATCAGATGCTCAGGGGACAGGTTTTGGTACCCTTTTCCTACTGAGTTGGCCTCACGTCGCAGGTGGCCTCTCTGGGTCCAGAGGTGTGCTAGGGGATGCAAGGAGGGAGCGTTTCCACCGCAAGAGGATGGAAGCTCTGCTCTCTGGCCAGCTCTTCCTTGGTAATGCAGAGGCAGGCGGGGAGCTGGAGGGGGTTTCTGTTAGCCAGTCAATCAATCATTTCCCAATGTTTATTATTTATCCCCCTGGCCAAGCCCTCCCCTCATCCCTGCCACTGTGGGCGATGGGAATTTTTGTGATCCCTGAGCAGCAGAGGCTGGCGGGCAGCCTGATCGATGCTAGCAGCTCATTCTCAGCCACGTGAGAGGAGAAATATCAACAAGGAGAGATGGAGTTAGAACTTTATTAGGAGAAACCTAGGCACGCTTGACTAAAATCTCATGTTAAGGAGAGCACGCAGGTCTTTTCAGGATTAAAAAATACACATATATAAAACACCTTACAAACAAAAAAATGGTTTCACCCCCTCTGTGTATGAGTATGTACGTATATGTACAGGGAACTGTACCAAAGCTAACTACGTTTTGGGAGCAAGGATTCACAATCACTTCCAGCGGCCCCTAAGAGAGGGAATGGCTCAGTCCCCTCATAAGCTGGTCCCAGGCCATTCGCTCACGCAGTCCAACGCTGGGAAGCTGTGGCCCGTGTCTGAAAGGACAGTGCAGGGTAAACAACAGGGAGCAACTTAGCTCTGTTTAGCAATTCTCTTTAAAAGAGGGATGTCAGCTCTGCGGTGAGAAAATGTATCTGGAGTGGGAGCTGCTTACAGACCTCACCCACCAGACTCACTGTGCAGTGTTGGGCCCAATGGCTGCTCTGAGAGGCTGCAGTGGTGGAAAGAGCTGGTCCATGGGTGGTTTCTTATGCCATGTGTGCTAGGGATGGAGTGGAGATGAAGATGACCTGATGGCAGAACAGGGACTTGCTTGAGGACAAGTATCTTGGCTTGCACTGGCTGGCGGGCTTGAGAGAGCAGCCAAGAGCTGAATGATGTGCAGGACCTGGAGAGGACTCTTGCTCCTTGCAAAAGATGCTGAAGTGTTTCGGTGGGTTAGTGAGAGAAGATGCAGGCCGTACCTCTTCTACAGATAAACAGAGGATATTTTTTCTCTCAAGTTGGCAGCTGGCAGCATCCTTTCAGCAGCATTCATGTTGCTTGAAAGATGAGTTTAAAAGGAGGAAAAATCACTTTGATTCCACACGGTAATTCCTCCTTTTTTGTTCTCACAGGAGAGTCTCTATTTCTGTTAATGGATGTCTTGCTTAGAATTGATAAGTATCTTGGGAAAATTCCCTAGTCTTCATCAACTGGTCATCTAAGCGATATCCCTGGGCCCCAGGGACAGTCTGCTGCGCTGACTTAAGAATGAGGAAAGGATTCCAACTCTAGACATGAGGCAGCTGTGCATGGGGGACCACGGATGCCCTTATCTATGGGGAAGAGTTATATACACAGTGTCAAAAAATTCAAGTAGGATTTATTGTATAGGTAAACTGGTATAAAATATCTGGGCTCAGGTAGAGAAAGGGAGGGTTAGAAAGAGTGAGAACAAAGCAGATGAGAGAGTCTTTCTTTCAGAAAGCCTACTGGTGTGTTTCTGCTCCCTGCAGGTGAGAGAAGCTTCAGCTTAGTATAATTGCCAAGCTGATGTAGCAAATGTTGACTAGACACCAAAGAAGATGCAAGGGGGTTGAGGTCCAGTCAGTCTGTTGAATACAGTGTTGCAGTGGATACCTGCTGGGCAGCCTCAGGAGTCTGCTGGCCTGTGCTCTACCAGGCTAAGGAAGGCGAGTCTCCAATCCCTGTGGGTCCCGTGTTGAAAATATGGCCGAGAGCTTCACATCTCGAGATTGGTGCCTCTCTTCAGTGCGTGTGTCCCAGTGGCTGTCCCTGCCTTAAGCTGTGAGAGGTGCTGTCTGCAGTATAACAATGATGTTCACTGAAAAGGAACAAGAGGGTGTTAAAACAGAGAAAGGTTAGTGGCAAGAGACTCGAGTCCACTTTGCAGAAGTTTTACTAAGCGCTGAGACTGCTCCTTCTCATCCCTCCTGGAGACAGGTCACACAGACAAATCATCCGACCTCGCCTTGCTGCTGGCACGAAAACATTGAAGTAGTTCTCGGGGAAGGTGGGTGCCGCACATTCGTTGGCCACCTCCGGACTCTCCACATAGCTGGACTTAATGAAGGGCCCTTCACCGGCAGTATCCTCCTGGCCATGGACCCTCTCGGTGGCAAAGTTGGCAGTGTTCTGCTGGGAGGCCATCTTGTTGCTGAAGGGGCTGATGAACTTCCCATTGGGACTTGACAAACACTGGTTAAAATCTGGTGGGGGAGTGTACATCTGGGCCCTTTCTACTTGCGGGGCGGATTCCAATCTGCCGGGGGCTGAGCTGGGGCTGGGTTTGTAAGACCGGGAGCACCTCTCTTTGGCTTTCTTCCAGCCCAAGTGGTACAACTCGGCCAGACTGAGGAATAGAGAGAGCACTGCCACAGCCAGCATGAAGACGATGAACACATTCTTCTCTGTGGGACGGGAAACGTAGCAGTTGACAGGGTGGGGGCAAGGTGCCCGCTGGCAGATATACAAGGTCTCCAGGAAGATCCCGTACAAGACGTACTGTCCCACAATGAAGGCCACTTCCATGGCAGTGCGAATCAAAATGCTATAGACGTAGGTGTTCAGCAGACTGCCCCTGAGTATGATTTTGCCTCCCGATTCATCCCAGCAAGACAGCTCGGCCTTCTCGGCCGCGGGGCACTTCTGCTGGTAGTATGTATCACCGTTGTTTTTCATCTCCTGGGCCTCTATTTCTGCCTCCTTCATCTTCCTCTTCTCCTCCATGCGCACTGTATGCATCGCGTGGCCCATATATACCAGAGATGGGGTGGAGACAAAGATGATCTGGAGGACCCAAAACCGGACATGGGAGATGGGGAAAGCCTTGTCGTAGCAGACGTTCTCGCAGCCAGGCTGCTGGGTGTCGCACATGAAGTCAGACTGCTCGTCCCCCCAGGAGGACTCAGCTGCAGTACCCAGCACCAGCATCCGGAAGATGAAGAGCACGGTCAACCAGACTTTCCCCACCACTGTGGAGTGTTTATGGACCTCCTCGAGGAACTCTCCCAGGAAACTCCAGTCTCCCATTTCTGCTCACCAGGAGGGGTGAGAAGTCTTGAAGGGAGAACTGGACGCAGCCTCTGTGGGAGAAAATAGAAGAGAGTGGTTCTAAGGAGGGTTAGGAAGTGTCCAACTGGGAATGCATGGAGTGAAATGATTTGTTTTGTGTCAAAGGAAATGTTTTAATTTGACCTGAAATGAATGAGGTCTGGTTTGCTGGTGGTTTCACATCCGCCGAAAGAAATGTGTTGGGTTTTTTTTTTGGTTCAGCTACTAAAACAAAAAGTGATCTTTTTTGCATAATCCAACTGCATAATCCAGCCCTGTAAAACAGGCTGCCAAAACTCTGAGGGTGAACCAGATTTTTTTCTTGGTTCAGAAGGTCCTTTCACTGCGGTCTGCATATTGCATTCTCTGTGGACGGTGTAGTTAAGCAGTATTCATCTATCTGCAAACTGCGCTCTGGGGAATCCTTAATGGGCTGATCCCCTGGGAGATAAGACTGGAGTCTACAGCTTGGTCTGAGCAGTGCTTGGCACTTTCATATGTCGCCTTTGTGTAATACCTGCACCAACACCTGGAACGTGAAGTGCTTGCAGCTCTGGGCTTTTTTTCTGAGCTCAGTGCCACCACTGAAAGGAATGCAGAGAAAACCTTCCTGTTGCCCATCTGCCCCGTGCCCATAGGTTTTACTTTGGTTTTGCAGTGTTGCCAGTTGCAAGTGTTTCAATTACAAGCTGCAAATGTTTTGGGGAGCGTAAAGACTTTGGTGAGCTGTGCCATTCCTGTAAACCTAATCTGCTGTCATGCCTCTCTGAGAGGGAACTGCTGCAAAATCTAAATGGTGGATCTTGCTCCCTTCTCTTTTTCTTAAGCTCTGAGACAAAATTCACAGTTCAAATGACAGAGCCAAAGAAAAAAGCCTCCTTTGAAATGCCTCCCAAGGACCAGCAGCTCCTGGGAACTGCTGTTTCATAGGTGGTCTGATGGGAGGAAAGGTTTGGTGGGCTGGTAGTAAGATTGCAACGTGAGAATGTAGGAGAGCCTGCTTCAATTTTGTTTCTGACTCTGGCAGACTGTTTCTGGCCAAGTCACTTAACCCCCTTGATAAAAAGAGAACGGTGGGTTTAATCCATCTTTTGTGGGGCTCTGTGAGAGTGCTTGAGCAATCATTTGATCCAGTTATACTCACGGTGCTTGCCTTCCCAGGGCACTGCAAAGGTCTCCCTTATGCATGAGTTAAGGGTTAGGTGCTATAAAGTGTGCAGTATTACCTTGGAGATAATGTTCTCCCACAGTTACTCTTTTTGGAAATATCCTTTTAATAAATAAATGAAGAACTTAATAATCATTGTAATAAAATATTAAAAGCACTAGACAAGGTAAATCCCAAAGCCATAGGGAACAAAAGTGTTAGCTCTCCTTCTTTATTGTCTCTTGTCTTGTCCTTAAGAGCCAATTATTTTTACTGTACAAAGAACATCTGTGGAGAGTAGACACTGTTAAACGCTGAGAATTTACTGCAGCAATATCGTGTAGATTTCCTGCGAGCAAAAGCTGGAGAACAGAGAGAGATGCTTGTTGAGGGAACAATATCCCCTCCTCTGGTTATGTACATGATATAATTTAATGTAGCAGTGCCCACGATGATTTATGCCATCGCTTGTTGATACGCGGTGTCCATCTGCAAGGATGCGTGGGACAAAGATCAAAAGTCGAATCCTTAAACTCCTCGTGCTGCTGAGGGCTGCCCTGCGGAAAGGTGAGGATTGCCTGGGTAAGGAGATGGGGCGGTGACCGCTTGCTGCCCCACCGCCAGTCGGAAGCTGTGTGAGGAGAGAGAAGGGGCATATCAGGAAGCAAAGGATGAGCTTTGGCTCTTTGCTGCTTTGGCAGGCATGCTGCAATCGTGCTGATGTAGGTCCTGGTGGCTGTTCAGAGTATGCTGAAGCTTTCATCTGCTGCCAGCCCAGAACTGGAGGAGCAGTAACACAGAAAATCAGCTAGTCTTTCTGACTCCTCTTTGTCTGTACTGGTAAAAACTGGTGAAACTGCGGGTCTGCCTCATCTTCTGAAATGGCTTTGGTGCAGTTACTGCATTCTGGAGAAATTAGCATATGGCTGCATTCTGTGGGCACCAGGGTATTAAATACAGGCAGATAAATCATTGATGGGAAATATTTACAGACAGTTGCACTGAAATCAGGTTTGTTTCCGCGCACCACCCCCCCCCCCCCGCCCCCCCCGGCCCGACACCCCCCCCCGCCCCGAGTGCAGACAAGGCAACCAGCTACCTACAGTTCAATGTACAGGTGTGTCCAAGGTCCATATGGTGTAGCACAACTTACGCGTGGAATATTCCTTCCAAGACAGCATGAACAATGGTGGGTGTCCTCATTTTTCCAGGGGAGTTTATGTTGTTTGCAGGTGCCCCTATTGCTCCTGCTGTTGTTAGATGACAGCTGCCTTTTCTTGATTCACCTTGCTTGTTAGGGTAAAAATGAACACAGTTCTCCCTGGCTGTGCCAAGGCTGAGTTTTCCTTCCTGTTATAAGCATGTGCAATCACAAATTGAGCATCTCCTTCCATCAGTTCTACTATGTGCAGGTAGTTTGGGGTTTTACTATGGCTTGTTTTCCCTAGGGAAGGCTACTAAACCTAGACACTTGCAAATTGTAAAAATCAATGTGTACAGAACACAAAGTAAAGCAAGCATAAGTGCAAGAGGAGTCCAGAAATAAAAAATGTTAATGGATGAGAGAATAACAGTAATTTACCATCACACGTGCACAAAATTTTCCAGGAGGAAGTAAATCAGAGTGATCCAAGGCTGGCAGCCATGAGGCTTAGGCTAGATAATAGGGCCGTTCCCTCTGCCCTTCCTGCTGGCTGCTCCCCTGCACAGGCTGTTTAAAGGAGGGGCTTCCCAAAGAGCCGAATGCCTCCCGATCATCCTGCTACAGCCCCACAGAGAGCTGAGATGGCTGCTGGAAGGGGGTAGGTTTTCATGGGAGAACAGGTTTTGGAAAACAAGGAGTTTCCCTCCTAGAGCAGTGTTTTTGGCTTAGTTATTAGTGAGCTACTCTTGTGATGCCAGACCAAGGGCCTCCTAGAGCAACAGAAGAGAGCATCTAGCTCTCTGCTGCCAGCAAGCAAAGAAGGATTGTTGTCACCTCCTGACAGCTTTTCCTGGCTAGGCAGGACTGCCTTTGACATAGCCTTTCTCCTCAGGGCTTTACTATTCTTGGGAATTTTCCACAGAGTTCCCTTTCCTCATTCCCAGACTACTGTTGTCCCCGCATGCTTTGACCTCTCAGCATGTGAGCATCTGTGGCCTTTTATATTCCTAGTTTGGACTCAGTTGGACAAATTTCATCTCGCTCTGGTGTGACTCAGCGAAAAACACCTCTGGGTATCTTCACGGGGTCTCAGCACCTGATAGCAGAAGGTCTTGACGGCGGAGTCATGCATATTCATGCAGGGTTGTGGGCTCTGCCACTGCCCAGCCATGCTTTTGGCTGTCAGCTTTCTGCTGGATCAACAAAGGAGCTGTGCGCAGTCATGGGATCTTGGCACCAGGAAACGCGTATGTGACAAAGACCAGCGCAGCCTGGCACAAACCCAGCGACGTGGCCGTCCTGGCTTAATTATCACCTGGAAAGCTGTTAAAGCTGGGGAAAACCGAGTATCACACCGCAGGCCAGGCGTGGAGTCCGCCCAGCTCCAGGCTGCCTTGTGACTGCCAAATTCCATGATAAAAATACCCCAGCAGGGACGGCACCTGCCAGTACACCAGGCTGGCTTGCCAGCAATGGGCTGCTCTCCACCATCCTCTTTTTGCGCTACCTTTTTCTGTGGGAAGGGAAGTGTCCGTCGCTCTTGGAGCAGTTTTGCCCATCCTCTTCATGATGCTGCACGCTTTGAACAACAGGCGAGCATTTTGCATCGCTGCCGCTGGCTCCAGCTGGCGCACTTGTTCTGGATGGACAGCTTTGGGGAACAGCTAGGAAATTCACACGATAGAGGCAGGAGGACTGTTCCTGTGCAATCCTCTTCTTTATATGAGTTTATTTCCCCTGGAATTGTTACGAAGAAAGTTTTCCCCTCTTTAGAAGACAAGGCGAGACTATCAGCAGTGATATAAATAGCTGAGCTTGACACTTCATGCTAACTTTTCCCACAAGGAAGGTGACAGGAGGTCGCCATGTTTCTAAAATAAAGTGGAGAGCCTGATTATGACACTGTTTCTGCTCTCCCTCGCTGGGCTCACCTCTTCCCCTTGGCAGGTCCCAGGCGCACGCAGAGGCTCTCTGAGGAAGGCTCCTTTGTGTGGGGGAAGCAGGGTTCCCAGGGAGGGGGAAAGTAACAAAGTCAAAGCCATTGTATTTTTGTCCAATCTGCATGTATGATTTGCTCAATTGGATAAAAATGTGTGTGTCTGATAGTTAATGAGACGTCCTAATGAAACAGAAGGCTGGGGCCTAAGATGTTGTGAAGAGGCTCACACACTAGACATGGGCTGTGCGTGGAGGCCATGCAGCAAGTCCGTCCCCTCTGAGCTCCCAAATGGGGAGGCAGCCGTCTCCTTTAGGTACTGGGCACATGAGAAGTGACAGCCCTGTGCAGTGGGGCATCCAGGCCAGCTGTGGCATGGTCAGTGCCTAGGAATTGGTTGTGGCCTTCCTTCCTCCAGCTGTGTCACCTCATAGCAGGTCCACGCGAGCGTGTGGCGCAAGAGATAGCTACTGTGGGGGTATGAGGACAAATATCTTTTCCCCTGTATTGTCAACTGTCAGGCTGCAGCCAGACCTGAGTGGTCCCCACACTGCAAAACGGGACGCTCACACCTGTAGGCACTTAGGAAGGACACTTTCAGCTCTGCGCTGGAGGTTAGTTAACACTGCTTTGCTATACAGCTGTACGTTTTACTTAAGGATCTCCACCCCCCTGTTAGCCGTAGCCCAGCCTCACAGCATACCATGCAGTGCAGATGCTGTCATCTTTATCTTGCAGATGGTGATCACTGGGCAAACTGCGTGTTCGAAGTCACTGTGTTAGTGGCAGTCTGGGGACAGAGCTC